GCTAGCAGAGTCCACTTGAGTGGGTGGCTTCCCTCCTCTCCCCTCCCTGTGGCACCCCAGAGTTCCAGCTGGGGACACAGCAGAGAAAAGAATTTTTTCCTGCAGCTTGGACTGGAGTTTGGTGTCTGTCATCTGACAAGTGAATTTTCACCTGTTCAGAATCAAAACAAAAACAGCCAGGACCTTATGTACATATTCACTTCACAGGTCTAGGATTTTAATGTGTCCTCAAATAGGAATAGCCTTGAGGTTTGTCCAGCTGCAGTTTCCAAATTACAGTCTTTTTGGCAAACATATTATACAGTGGGGGATGAAGAATTTAATCTCAGCAATCCCAAATAATGTGTTGCATATTTAGAATATCACCTATTCTTGCTTTTAGTTAAGTACAACTATGGGTTGTTTCATATTCTGTGGCCCCGGGACTCAGATTTGGGTTACCAAACATTCACACTCAATCAATTCACTTCTCGGCCTTTTGGCTAAGATCATGTGTAGTATCAAAAATTCACAGTCAAGTAAACTAAAGCAAAAGTCAGTTTTGATATATTTCAGAGGACTGAGGACATATACCAATAATTTAGAGAGGAAGGACTGCAATTATTTGGTACACTTTGGTGTAATTAAAGAAGGTTATAATAATTAGATACAATTTTCTACCTAAAAAAATATCAATGACATCTTCATACAGAGAGAAGTTGAAACAAACATTTGTTTGGGTTGGCAGTATCAACTAATAGAAAAATTCCACTTGGAAACTGATTTTATCATAATCATAAGTTCACTCTGTTGAAAAGTTGTGGGAACATTTAAAATGTTCAGAACTATAGCGTGATTAAACAAGCCCCAGCCCATGCCCTTAGTGTAATCATCTAATGGCCTCCCCTGGTGGCGCAGCGGTTGAGCATTGGGCTGTGAAGCTGCCCACAGCCTCTGCAGCGCCAGTTCAATCCCCAGCTGCTGGCGAGGGTCCCGCATGGCGCGCAGACCTCTCCTGCCGCCCGCTGCTCCCCTCAGCAGTGTAATTTCATCACTCTGCCTGTTCTGTTCCCCGCTCTGGCTCTGGTGAATCCTCTCACCCCCCCACACCTCTGGCCTGTACCCTGACTCTTGTATGCATAAATAAATAAATCTTTAAAAAAAAAAAAAAAGAACAAAAGGGAAAAAAGAAGAGCTGAAATAGTCTGTAGACAAGAAAAGTTTTCCTGGGGAGTTGTGGGGTATCATGTTACACCTAATCAAAAAATCAAGTTGTTCTAGGTCATTTTTTCCCTGCCCTCTTCCCAGGTAATACTGTTCCTAGATTAAAAAAAAAGATTTATTTATTTATGTATACAAAAGTTAGGGTGTAGGCCAGAGCAGCAGGTGAGATAGGAGAGGTCTACCGCACCATGTGGGTTAACTCCCTGGCCAGGGGTTGAACTCTGGCCACAGTGATGTAGCACTGAGACTTAACCCCTAAGCCACCAGGGAAGCCCTGTGTTCCTAGATTAAATGAGCAAAATCAAAATACATTTTGGGGGATGTGGGGCAGGGAAAGGAGAGATTGGGGTCAAAATAAGGGGGTTGTAATTGTATGGGGAATATAAAAATAAAATTTAAATTAAAAAAGTTACATGAAAATAAACTCAGTACAAAAACTAAAAAAAAAAAATACATTTTGGAGGGCTTCCCTGGTGCAGGGACTAAGTCTCAGCCATCAATCTATTGTCAGCCACTGCAACATGAGTTCGATCCCCAGCCACGGAGCTGACCCACATGGCACAGCAGACCACTCCCGTCTCATCCGCTGCTCCCCTCAACAGTATATTTCAATGGATCAGCCTATTTTGCTCCCCACTCTGTCTCTGGTGAAACTTCTCACACCATATACCTCTAGTGCACACCCCAGTTCTTGTATGCATTACATAAAATCTTTAAAAAATACATTTTTTAAATAAGTGGCATACCTGAGTTTTTTTTTTTTAAAGATTTATTTGTTTGTTTGTTTATTTATTTATTTACACAAGAACGGGGTAAAGGCCAGAGGTGTGGGGCATGAGAGTATTCACCAGAGACAGAGTAGAGAACAAAACAGGCAGACTGACGAAATACACTGCTGAGGGGAGCAGCAGGCAAGACAGGAGAGGTCTGCCATGCCATGTGGGACCCTCGCCAGCTGGCCGGGATCAAATCAGTGCTGCAGAGGCTGCGGACAACTCCACAGTGCTGCGCTCAACCGCCTACTCCACCAGGGGAGGCCCTATTTTTTTTTTTTTTTTAATTTATTTTATTGGGCCTCCCTGGTGGCGCAGCGGTTGAGCTCTGGGCTGCGAGGCTGCCCGCATCCTCTGCAGCACCGGTTTTGAGCCCTGGCGGCCAGAGAGGGCTCAGACCTCTCCTGCCGCACCCGCTGTTCCCCTCAGCAATGTATTTCTTCGGTCTGCCTGCTCTGTTCCCCGCTCTGTCTTTGGTGAATTCTCTCACCCTCCCGCGCTTCTGACTGTACCCAGTGCTTGTATAAATAAATAAATATTTTTTAATACATACAAGAACTGGCCAGGGGTGTGGGGGATGAGAGGATTCACCAGAGACAGAGTGGGGAGCAGAACAGACAGACTGACTGAAATACACTGCTGAGGGGAGCAGCAGGCAAGGCAGGAGAGGTCTGCTGCATCATGTGGGTAGCTCCCTGGCCGGGGATAGAACTCGTGCTTCAGTAGCTGAGGATAGCTTCATAGGTTGCGTCTTAACCCCTTGTGCCACCAGGGAGGCCCTGAAAAATACATTTTTGTAGGCTTGTTTTATCAAAGAGTTCCTGAGTCCACTCTTTGAATGGCAATTTCTTTTTTTTGAGTATTTGAAAAGATTTATTTATTTATGCATACAAGAACTGGGGTGTAGGGCAGAGGTGCAGGGGGTGAGAGGATTCACCAGAGTCAGAGTGGGGAACAGAACAGGCAGATCTACTGAAATGCAGTGCTGAGGGGAGCAGCGGGCGAGACAGGAGAGGTTTGCTGTGCCATGTGGGTAGCTCCCTGGCTGGCTGGGATCTAACTCCTGCTGCAAAGGCTGCAGATAGCTTCACAGTGCTGTGTTTAACCCCTTGTGCCACCAGGGAGGCACCATTCTTCACTTTCTTAAGTGCATTTTAGAACTCCAGTGTGACAAAGGGAAATCATTCAATAGTCTGTTTCCTTAAAACAGCAGTTCTTATAACACGACCAAATTATTGGCCAACAGATTGAACTCAGTTTATCAACTTATAACTGAACAACTAATTCCTTAACTCCTGATTTAAGGTAAAATAAACATCAAATTTACTTTCAATAAATGAATGCACTTTCCTACCCAAGGAAGGAACTAATTTTCTTGGAGAAGACTTCAAAATAAGCCAACCCCTTGTGGAGGGAGGTGGTTACATATTATGCTTTGATTCAAGGACTTGGCACACAGGTTGCTACCCATGCCTGCTGAGAGGCTAATTCTTTTAATAGATTTTGTTGTTGTTGTTTTTTGGTTGTTTTTTTTTTTCAGTCTAGGAATGCTCAAGTGCATTTTCTCACAAATATGTCAATTAAAGAAAACTCGGAGTTTACCTGCCACTCCCCAGTGCAGTGCCTGTCAAAGGCTACTTCAAACGGCCTGCCTGTGGGGTCAGCATGAGCATAAGCCTCCATTACTTGGACATGGATAGGCCCATTTGAGGCAGACCATGTGCCTCAGAAAGTTAAGAATGATGATGTGGGGCCTCCCTGGTGTCACAAGCAGTTAAGAAGCAACCTATGAAGCTATTGGCAACCACTGCAGCACAACTTTGATCCCCAGCCAGGGAGCTACCCACATGGCACAGTAGACCTCTCCTGTCTCACCCGCTGCTCCTGTCAGCAGTGTATTTCAGTCAGTCTGCCTGTTCTGCTCCACACTCTGTCTCTGGTGAATCCTCTCACCCCCCACACCTCTGGCCTGTGCCCCAGCTCTTGTATGCATAAATACATAAATCTTAAAAAAAAAAAGAAAAGAAAGATGGGATTTGTGAGGGTGCTCCTGCCCCCAGATTCCATAGACAAAGGATGAGGGGAGGAAGGGGTCCTTTGTTCTAAATCCCATTCCCCACTCTTAGGAAGCCAGAAACATAAAGACAGGTAGGGAAGACTGTCTCTGACTCTGCTCAGTGGTATCATCCTTCTGAATTCACCTCAGTCCAGGGTCTACTGGGGGGAAAGGGGCACCTCCTGCTTTGGGAGGAAGGGTGAGTGTACCAGAACTAACCACATGATGGATTTCTGGAGTGACCATGAGCAAAGTAAAGCCTAGATACCAAGCAGTCCCTCTCCTGACCCTGGAGTTCACTCTCTGGGCACCTAGTGGAAAGCAGATGTTCTTAGCAAGGTACTCAGCTGGCAAGGACTTGGAAGGAAGGACCAGTCCCCTCCCTGGGCAGCACTGGAAAAGGTTTGGTGCAGCACCTACGCCACAGAGGTGCACCTGCCTCCAGGTGGGCAGGAAGATTCCTTGGACCAGAACCTCTCCTGAAAGTGGATGGCCAGGCCAACATGTGTGGGGAAACTCTCTGTCCTCCCTTCGCCGGGCTGACCAGGACTTCCTCCGGCAGGACAGTCCTTTAGGTACACCAGCACCTTCCTTCCTGGGGACGGGCCAAACCTGGGAGCTCAGCTGTATGGACTGTGAAGTCTTTTTTCCATTTGGGGTGGGGTAGATATGGACAACCTCGCTGCTCCCTCCTCTCCTGGCTCCTCCCGGGTCTTCCCACCAACTGGGCTAGGAGGCAGGAGCGGGGAGGAGCCTTTTCCACCTTGGAATTGTGGAGAGGTTTGGAGAGGTTTGCGTCTTCACGACGGCGAGAAGGATTTGTCCAGGACCGCCCGGCAGCGCCCTCCCCGTGGCGGGGCAGCAGCGGGCGCCGGGCCGGAGCCCAGCAGGGGCGTGTCCCCGTGCTCACCTGCCATTGGGCAGGTGGGGCCGCCGGGGCTGCTGCAGGGGCCGTACTACAAATAAGGAGCGGGTGGCCACCGACTCAGGCGAGTCGCAGGATGGAGGACAGCGTGTATCGGACCCGCTCCCTGGGGGTGGCGGCTGAGGGGCTCCCGGACCAGTACGCCGACGGCGAGGCGGCGCGCGTGTGGCAGCTCTACATCGGGGACACCAGCAGCCGCACCGCGGAGTACAAGGCCTGGCTGCTGGGGCTGCTGCGCCAGCACAGCTGCCAGCGGGTGCTCGACGTGGCCTGTGGTACCGGGTGAGCCCGGGCGCGGGGCGAGGGATAGGGGTACACTGGGAGCAGCCAGGGACGGCTTGGCCAAGGCCGCCCCACCGCGGGACGCTGCCGGGCCCGTCGGGGCAGCCTCCTCCGCCGCCAGCCGACCAGGACCCGGTGGAGGCAGCAAGCCAGGACCCGGAACGGGTGTGTGCCTGGGCAAGGCCAGCATAAGGGCAAGATTGCCTGGAGGAGGGGTCTGAGGAGACCTGGCCGCGAATAAGGCTGCAGGCACCCCGGGGTGGGGGAGACAGGTTTGCCAGGGCAGTGCTAGAACCAGGTTTCGGGCCAGACGGTCCTAAGCTGGCTCCTGGCTCCAGCATTGTTTCTTCTGGGGTGGCCTTGGGCAGCGTTAACATTTGTGCAGCGTTTGCCAGTGCCAAAGCCCTGTGCCAGGGGCTCTCCATACATCAGTTTTTGAAATCCTCACCAAACCCCATGAGGTAAGGAGGAGTAGAAATTCAACTCCGAGGAGTAAAGGTTTCCCATCCACTGGAAAGAAGATACAGACCCAGGTTGGTTAGGATCTGGCCTGTGCACTAAAGTACCCTGCTGTACACCCCCTCCTGTGCACGGGTTACTTAACTTCCCCAGCCTCAGGATCCGCGCACACTTGTGGAATCCCTGATTGAATAGGTGCTAATAAAACTCAAGCAAAAAGTTGCTACCTGGAGCCAAGAAACAGATTTGCCAGATCCCCTGAGGTCAGTGGAGAGGGCTTGGGGAGCTGCAGCAGAGGAACATATTCTAAGAGTTGGGAAGTGTCTGGCACAGGGCCTCCTTCTTGCCTTCACCGCCCCTGACCGCTCCGCTCTGCCTCTCATCCCTGGCCCTGTCAGGGTGGACTCCATCATGCTCGTGGAAGAGGGTTTCAGCGTGACGAGTGTGGATGCCAGTGACAAGATGCTGAAGTATGCGCTTAAGGAGCGCTGGAACCGGCGGCATGAGCCCGCCTTTGACAAGTGGGGTATGTGGGTCCAGCCAGGTCCTCCAGCCCAGTCACCAAGGACATGGTTCTCTCTGCTCTGGGCTCCTGTAGCTCTTGAGGTGGGGTGTTTATTTTCCTCAAGGAGGAAAAAATACTGTCATTTGCCTGAAAGGGAGGCTTAGGCACCCGAAAAAGGTATTGATGTGAGGGGCTAGTTTTACTCTAGTATATCTTGTCTCTTCAAATAAAAACCCAGGAGCACAAAGCCCTCCTTCCCAACCATGCCTTTCTCTCCCCTGATGGTCTTCCCCTTTCCCTCTCCATGTCCATAGTGATGCCCTCTTCCTAAGTGGATGGGGAATTCCTGTGTCTCAAAGGGGAAGCTGAGACAGGACTGCCTTGGTGGAGATGGGTACTACCAGTACCATGGTGCCACCTGATCCCTCTTCCCCTCCCTGGCCCCCCAGTCATTGAAGAAGCCAACTGGATGACTCTGGACAAAGATGTGCCCCAGCCACCAGGGGGTGGCTTTGATGCTGTCATTTGCCTCGGAAACAGTTTTGCCCATTTGCCAGACAGCAAAGGTGAGAAAGGGTGTGGGCTTGGGCATGGTCCTTCCTATACCCCTTTCCACAGACCCCAAGGCACCTACTCTACCAGAGTAGACTGCTTTTTTTGCCCCTCTCTGTCTTGGTACTGGCGCCCCAGGGGAGGAGAGAGATGGGAGGGAGACAGATGCTGGGGGCCCTGAGCCAACACAGTCTCTGCCCTGCCTGGAGCTCAGGGGACCAGAGTGAGCACCGGCTGGCACTGAAGAACATTGCAAGCATGGTGCGACCTGGGGGCCTGCTGGTCATCGATCATCGCAACTACGACCACATCCTCAGCACAGGCTGTGCACCCCCAGGGAAGAACATCTACTATAAGGTGGGGCCCTGGGAAAGGGAGGGCCCAGAGTGGGAGGTGTGAGCCTGGGGGCCAGGCCCCACAGTGGTCACAGAGCCTAATGCAGCACCACCAACGACAGAGTGACTTGACCAAGGACATCACAACATCAGTGCTGACAGTGAACAACAAGGCCCACATGGTAACGCTGGATTACACGGTGCAGGTGCCTGGAGCTGGCCAGGGTGGATCTCCTGGCTTGAGGTATCCACTTGGCAAGGCTGGGGGCAGAGGGGGAGGAAGGGTGCTGAGCTACAAGCCCTCATGGTTGGTCGGGGCTCTGTTGCAGTAAGTTCCGGCTCTCCTACTATCCGCACTGTCTGGCATCCTTCACGGAGCTGCTCCGAGCAGCCTTCGGAGGCCAGTGCCAGCACAGTGTCCTGGGTGACTTCAAGCCTTACAAGCCGGACCAGGCCCAAGTTCCCTGCTATTTCATCCACGTGCTCAAGAGGACGGGCTGAGGGCACCCACGCCCCTCTACACAGGCACTGCCAGGCCCTGTCCGGGGAAGTGGGCATCTGCCCAGTACCACCTGGTGTGGTCCCACCCCAAACCCAGCCCCCAGAGCAGATCCTGGGGTTGCTGGGAAGGGCTGGCAGTAGCTGGGGTACAGGGGCTTGGGTTCAGGCAAATGGAGTGAAGAACAATACAGTCTGTGCCTTTTTCAGTTCCTGTGTGCCTCTGTTTATGTCAGAAGGCCCAGACTCCAGTGGTACCCATCCTGCCCTCCCCTGAGGCTTACTCCTCCCACCATCCTGCTCTCTATGGACACCCTTTCAAATCACACCACCAGCAGGGGGCAGCAGACACTTTATTTTCAGCCACAGGCAGGGCTCTCTGGACCCATCCGTGAACTCCAGATCCTCCCCACCCCTCCTGAACACATGGACCTTAGTCCTGGGCTGTCCTGGAAGGTAGGCAGGGGATGTCTCTTGAGGTCTCAGGGACCACTCTGCAACCAGGGGATCTCCTGGAGGTAGGCAGGTGGGTGGGCAACAACCAGAGGAAGAGCCCTTTGCTCTCTCCGGTCTCTGTGGGGCTACCAGGTACCTTTCACCATGGAGGGTGGGGTTCCCAACTACAGAAGGCGCTTAGCAGGCGGCAAACTTGCGCTGGATGCGCTTATAGCGGAGCAGTTCCTGCTCACTGACTGAGGGCTGCAGCCGGGCAGCGGCCTGCAGCAGGTCCTCCATAGTGAGCAGCAGTGCAGAACTCCCGAGTTCCAGGCCTAGGGGCAAGGGGGAGGGAAGCCAGGGTCTCCATCCAGCTAAGGAACAGAGGTTGTGGTCTATGCCCAGCAGGAGAGAGCCCTGGGGAGACAGTGTCCTGCCAGAATCCCCCAAATATCAACAGTCCCTCCTCTGAAATCCAGAACCAGATTTGGTTCCCATGAGATTTTTGGTCAGTCTTTGGGGCTAGCGAGTGGCTCACCTTCCTCCAGGTCCCGAACCCGGCGTTTGAGGGCAGCTGTCATGGCATCAGAGCAGAGGGAGTAGAGGTCTGCGCCCGTCAGCTGGGGAGGGCAGCAGTCCAGCACGGTCACCAGGCTCACAGAGGGCTCTAGCTTGAATCTGTTACGGGGATATGGCAAGATTACCTGGCACTGCCTTCCTCCAAAGTCAAGGCTGACAGGCTTATTCTGCATGCTAACCCATCCCTTGACCATCTCTGGGGGTTGTCCTTGACTCCAAGTTTTTGAAGTCTCTCTCTCGCAGGGCATACTTGCGTGTGATGGCGCTCAGCACACGTAGCTGGGAGGCACGGTCCTCGCTCACCCCCACGAACACCAGCTTGTCAAATCTTTAGGGAGACAGGTCTGAGGACAGGCCCAAAGGGGTCTAGCAGAGATGAGAAATATAAGGGTTGGGGTACATACCGGCCAGGCCGCAGAAGCGCAGGGTCCAGGAGGTCTGGTCTGTTGGTGGCTCCGATAACAAACACATTCTGACTGTCGTGAATTCCATCCAGCTCGGCCAGGAGCTGAGACACCACCCTGCAAAGGAGGCCGAGAAGGCAGGAGAGTCCTTGACCCATCCTCAGCCTCTGCCCAGCTGTGGGGCCTTTCCTTGCAGGCCTCTTCACAGGACCTCTACTCAGTTGTGCCCTGTATACCCCCCATGTGTGTCCCTGTTCTCAATGTCCCAACTCCACATCCTCCTTGAGCTTCTATTAAACAATCTTATAAACGGAAGCGCAGGAATTCCCTCGGTTCTGGAAGCTGCTGCCCCCAGATTCCATTCCTGCTCAGACACTCACCTGTCCATCACACCTCCAGAGTCTCCACTTCGCCCCCGGCTTGGGGCCAAGGAGTCCAGTTCATCGAAGAAGATAATGCAGGGAGCCGCGGCCCTGGCCTTGGCAAACACTAAGGAGAGAGAGGCGCACAGGAGGGGAGCTCAGGGGGGTTGAAATTGGGAGATGGGGAGAGAAAGCAGGCGTGACAACCTCTCACTGGCATCCCAGGTACTAGGGCCCACTGCACAGGAACTGCTTGTGGAAAGAAGTGACTATGAGCAGCCGGAGGGTAGGGGTGCAGCACCAGGGCCACGGGAGTCTGAAAAGTGCTGGAAATGCTGCCTCTCCCCACTCACTCACCTTCCCGTACATTCTCTTCACTTTGTCCCACATACATGTTGATGAGCTCAGGCCCCTTGACGCTGAGTGAGAGAAGTGAGTGTGTGAGGTGAGACCAATCAGATGCGTGAACACAATCGATCTCTGCCAGCCCCTTCTGCTCCCCAGCCTCCTGCAGCTCCCAGTCCATCCCACCTGAGGAAGGTGAGGCTGCACTCAGTGGCTACAGCCTTGGCCAGGAGAGTCTTGCCAGTGCCAGGGGGTCCGTGGAGCAAAAGGCCCGAGCGCCTCAGGCCCAGGCTCAGCAGCTCAGGGTGCTCTAGAGGGAGCTGAATGGTCTCCAGAATCTCCTTCTTCACCTCCTGCAGCCCACCCACATCGTGCCAGGATACTGAGGGGATCTGGGAGATGGAGAGTGCGTGTTGGGGATATGCTGGTGGAGGAAGCTCCAGTCCCACCTCTCAGGGCCTGGAGTGTCTACCTTGGGGGCTCCGATGGCCTGCGAGTGAGCAGTCTGCAGCTGTTCCAGCGCCTGTGCGAAGTCCTCAGCTAGGAGGGGAAAGCCAGCAGCACACAGCTCCCCCTCATCCTCCTCACTCCAGCCACCTGCCAAACTGCAAAGAGCAACCCAGGGAGACCTCTGGAGGACCTCATCTCACCCCCCTCCTCCGGATCTTGGTCCCTCCTCCCTTCCTTGCCGCCCATGTTTCCTTTGGCTGTCATTCCCCACCCAGTGCTCAACTTCCTTACCCCAAGTTCTTGATCCTGGAGCAGGCTGCCCGGCTGCTATGGGTCAGAAGGGCATAGAGATCCCCTGCCACAAAGCCCTAGGGAAGCACAGGGAAGGACACATGAGCCAGGCACAGTAAGCAGGAACCCTTGGGGGTTAGTTGGAACAAAGCCCCAACATCAATGCCTCAGGGTTTTCTTTGCCTTCTTTTTTAAGATTTATTTTATTTATTCATGCATAGAAGAACTGGGGTACAGGCCAGAGATGCAGGGGGTGAGAGGATTCACCAGAGACAGAGTGGGGAGCAGAAAAGGCAGACTGACTGAAATACACTGCTGAGGGGAGCAGCGGGTGAGACAGGAGAGGTCTGCTGTGCCATGTGGGTTAGCTCTCTGGCCAGGGATCAAATTCATGCTGCAGTGGCTGGTGATAGCTTGATAGTGCTGAGAATTTAACTCCTGCGCCACCACGGAGGCCCTGCCTCAGCATTTTCTACCCTCACATGCAAGCAGCTGGATTGTGTCCTGTGACAACAAAAGCGGGGAGGGGGCCTGTCCCCTGCCCCCGTACTCACTGCACACCGCCGTGCCAGCTGTGCCAGGTTCACTTCTTGGCCTAAGGGGAGGTGGGCCGTGAGGGCCCGCAGAATGTTGAGCCGCTGCCCCTCTGACAGCACAGGCACTGCCAGTTCATGCAGGAATGCTGTCAGCACATCAGCAGGCAGGTCCTGGGCCCGGCTTGTGGTGGCCACAACCATCAGGGGAGGGCAGCTGCAAACAGGGAGTGGGCAGATGGCGTGTGCGGCTGGCAGCTCTCAGCACTGCCTGGTCCTGATGCCGTGTAGGAAGCAAGGTGGTGGTGGGTGCTGGATGGGACAGGGAAACGGGCACCCCAATGTTCCTGGGTGGAGCGCCAGGAGAATACCTTGAGAGGGGAACCTCACTGAGGGCAGAGGCTGTGCTTTCTCTTCAGACTAGTGTTCCCTAAAAAATACTAGGGAACACCCCATCCTCCTACCTCTGGATAACCCTGGGCTCAGGGCTGTCTGGATGGCAGAGAAATGGCAGCCATGGAGGGGGTGAGGAAGAGAGGCTCAAAAGGCTGAAGGAAGAGGGGACCCAACCCCTTCAATGAACCTGGCTCTGAATAATACCTGGTGAGGGGGTCTGCTTCGAGGAGAAGCTGGCGCAACGTGGCCACCACACGGGTGTCCTCACCGAGTCCATCACGGTCCCGGCCCAGAAGGTCCATAGCTGTCAGCAACAGAACCACAGGCCTGCAGCACCGGGCCTGGGAGAAGACGGCCCGCAACTTTGTCTCCACAGCCCCGCTACTGTCAGCACAGAGGCTGGAGCAGGGCACCTGGGGGAGGGGTCCTGATGAGTATGAGCCAGTGGCAGGGGTGAGTAGGGCAGGAGAATGGGGGGAGGAGTCAGAAGATGCAGATTATCCTGCATCATTTTTTAGGACAAGGATGGGGGAAAAAGTAACATTGGCCAAGTCCTACCTCTTCTTTACCCTAACCTCATTGTCTGGACTGTACACCCAAATCTGGGAACCCCCTCTGCTGCACCTCCCCCTGCAGTGACCTTTAGGAATGGCTTTCGCCATGGTCCCTAGGTCCGGCTGGGCAACCAGCGCGCAGGGGGAGAACAGCATAACACCCTGAAGCAGAGGAAGTACAGCAGAAGTTCCCTGAAAAGACAGAAGCTTATCAAAAGATAACGACCACCAGGAACCACTACAAGAATGCTAAAAATCTTATCCCCTCTTTCTAGAGCTACAAACTTTAATCCCTTATTGTCTTTCTAAACTTCCTTCTTTCTTCTATAAAAGTCATTGCTTGTGGGCCTCCCCGGTGGCGCAACGGTTGAGCGCTGGGTTGCGAAGCTGCCCGCAGCCTCTGCGACGCCGGTTCGATCCCCGGCTGCTCCCCGGCCACCAGAGGAGGGTCCCACATGGCGCGCAGACCTCTCCTGCCGCCCGCTGCTCCCCTCAGCAGTGTACTTCGGTCCTTCTGCCTGCTCTGCTCCCCGCTCTGGCTCTGGTGAATTCTCTCCCCCTCCCGCGCTTCTGACTGTACCCAGTGCTTGTATAAATAAATAAAAAATAAAAATAAAAATAAATCTTTAAAAAAAAAAAAAAAAGTCATTGCTTGTTATGTAGATCACCTCCCTGATGGTGATAGACTGAGCCCATGAGCAAGCCGATTTCATTGATATTCATTGTCCCTGCGCTTTTGGAAAACATATATATATTGGTCACAAACTCAAAGAAAATTACACTCAGATTTTC